CTCTTGCATGGGCTGGAAGCCAGGAGACATTACTTCCCTTCCACAACCTTGAACATCCCAGCTCCTCTCAGCCTCTTGCCCACCTCCCCTCACTAATAAGTGGCATCAGGTGGGCTGACCAGGAAGTCTTTGTAAAACTACAGCTGCATGACTACAAGAGAGCTTTATACAGAATAATATATGGAAACACTGCAACTCCTAATCTTGCCTCTCTCCATTTGCCACAATCTCAGGACTCTGATTTGTCATAACATCACTAAATTATGAGTTTATAGTCTGGTTAGAGTAAGGAAGAAAGATAAAACCGTGAGGAAAACCAACTCCAGGCCTGAAATTCCTAAGGCCTCCAGCAAAACCATGCACACAGTAAGAACTCAATGAAGCACCTGCCACTGAGTGCTAGGAAACCAGTAAGTTGCCATCCCCACAGGGCAAACAGGCGCTCTCCACTGGCAGGTGCAGGCAGAGAAGGTGCTCAATCCAGGAGTCTGTTGTCACATCAGAAGCCTGAACTAAAAATGTGAAGCCACTTCCTCTCTGAGGGAGGAGACTCATGAGGTCTTATCTGGCCACAGCAGGCAGTCACACTTCCTCCCCAGACTCCCACTTCAAAGGTCTGGCAGAAAGGCCCACAGGCTAGAAAATCAACTCAAAGTTTAGACTCCTAACTATCTTGTCCCCAGGCATGTACCTTATTAAACAAATCACTCAAGAACTGTAGGGATTAAATATGACACCAAAAGTATATGCAACAAACTCAAAAACAGATAAATTGAACTTCATCAAAATTTTAAAACTTTTGTGCATCAAATGACACTACCCACCAGGTGCAGTAGTTCACGTCTGTAATCCTAATATTTTGGGAGGCCAAAGAGGGAGAGCTGCTTGAGGCCAGGAGTTTGAGACCAGCCTGGGAAACACAGTGAGACCCCATCTTTACAAAAAATTAATTTAAAAAAAAAGACACTACTAAGAAAGTGAAAAGATAATCCAGAAAATGGGAAAAAAATAGCACTAATCTCATCTCTAATAATGATTTAATATCCAGAATATATGAACAATGCAATGACAATTCAATAACAAGAAAAAGAACCCAATAAAAATATGGGCAAAGAAAACCTGGATGCTTATTCAAAGAAAATATATATATATACACAAATGGCAAACAAGCATAGGAAAGGATGTTCAACATCACTCATCATTAGGGAAATGCAAATCAAAACCACAATGGGATACCACTTCACACCCATTAGAATGGCTATAATTAAAAACAAAAACCAAAAAAGAAGATGGCTGGACTTTGGTGGCTCACACCTGTAATCCTAGCACTTTGGGAGTCCATGGCAGGAGGATCACTTGAACCCAGGGGTTCAAGACCAGCCTGGAGCAACACAGTGAGACCCCTGTCTATTTTTTTTTTTAAAAGAAAATAACAAGTGTTGGGGAGGATGTGGAAAAACTGGAAGCCTTGCACACTGCTGCTGGGAATGTGACAACCGGAAGCCTTGCACACTGCTGCTGGGTAAAGCCACTGCTGAAGACAGTATGGTGTTTCCTCAAATAGCTAAACATAGAATTATGATATCACCCAGCTGTTTTCCCTACACATAGTTACATTCCTCTCCCCGCTATATAAACTCCCCAGTTTTAGTTTGACGGAAAGACAGATTTGAGACTGATCTCCCTTCTCCTCACCTGACATCACTCAAATGTAATTTAAAAAGGTAGGGGGGGCGAGGAGTGGTGGTTCACACCTGTATTCCCAGCACTTTGGGAGGCCAAGGTGGGTGGATCACCTGAGGTCAGGAGTTGGAGACCAGCCTGACCAATGTGGTGAAACCCCACCTCTACTAAAATACAAAATTTAGCAGCTGGGCGCAGTGGCTCATGCCTGTCAATCCCAGCACTTTGGGAAGCCGAGGCGAGGAGATCACCTGATGTCAGGAATTCAAGACTAGCCTGGATAACATGGTAAAACCTGGTCTCTGCTAACAATGCAAAAATTAGTTGAGCATGGTGGCATGCATCTGTAACCCCAGCTACTGAGGAGGCTGAGGCAGGAGAATCACTTGAACCTGGGAAATGGAGGTTACAGTGAGCCAAGATTGTGCCACTGCACTCCAGCCTGGCCAACAAGAGCAAAACTCTGTTTCAAAAAAAAAAAAAAAGTTGGACGTGGGAGGTCGAGGCAGGTGGATCACCTGAGGTCTGGAGTTCGAGACCAGGCTGGCCAACCTGGTGAAACCCCGTCTTTACTAAAAATACAAAAAAACTAGCTGGGTGGGTGGCAGGCTCCTGTAATCCCAGCTACTCGGAGATGGAGGTTGCAGTAAGCCAAGATTGTGCCATTGCATTCCAGCCTGGGCGACATAGCGAGACTGTCTCAAAAAAAAAAAAAAAAAAAAAAAAAAAAGAATTACCATATAATCCAGTAATTCCACTTCTGGCTATATACCCAAAAGAATTCAAAGCAGACACTCAAACAGGTATCTGTACACCCCTGTTTATAGCAGCATTATTCACAACAGGCAAAATGTAGAAGCAACTCAACTAAACAAAACATGGTATATACAATGGAATATTAACCCTTAAAAAGGACTGAGATTCTGACACATGACACAGCATGGATGAAGTGTGTGAAGACATGCTAAGTGAAATACACCAGTCACAGAAGGACAAATACTGTATGATCTGATTATATGAGGTATCTAGAGTAGTCAAATTCAGAGACAGGCAGTAAAACAGTCATGGCCAGGGGCTGGGGAAAGGGGGAATGGAGAGTTATTGTTTAATGGGTACAGAGTTTGGGATGATGAAAATGTTCTGGAAATAGATTGTGGTGATGGTTACAGACACAGAGAATGTACTTAATGCCACTAAATTATACATTTAAAATGGTTAAAATAGTAAATTGTATGTTTATTTTCCCACAATTTTAAAACACAGAAAAAAATAACAATCAGGCCATATTTCCAGTCCACCGAGAATCTGGTTTTAAAGGCCTGTTCTCCTGATGATCTGGCACATTCTTCCCATGGCAATGGGCTCCATGGATGCTATTTTGTCCTTTGCATTGCAACCTCAAATCCAGCCCCAATAACCTGAGCCCTAAATCCAAGCAAACAGCTCAGATGGACTAGCCATTGTTTGAAAGGCTGAGGCTTGAGCTTCTCTGGGACAGGCAATTTAGGGGATAACTGTCTGATATGTTCAACAGGCGGCCAACAAAAGCAGAAGCCACTCTAGCCAGCTTTCACTCTCTATTACTTCCCTTTTCACTTTCATACAGGACACCAGACTGCCATGCAGTAAGGAAAACAGGGGTCAGGCTGCCCAGCCTGCTTTAAGTTGGAAAGTGGGAAGTGCCCCCCCATCTCTGACAGGTCTATAAATTTAACATTCTTTGTACTTCATACACTGAAGGACACAGTTTTCACGCATCCAACAACAGAACCAACAACTTCGGCCCTCTGTGGTCTCTAGAGCCCTTTCACACAGATTATCCCATTAGATCTCACAATAACAGTGAGAATGAATGTGTAGGGACTGTCATTCCCCACTGGAGACATGAATAAACCCAGGCTCAGGGAAATGAAGCAGTGTGTCCCAAGTCCAAGTAAAAAAGCAATTTACAGTTTGCACACAGGTAAGTCATCTTCAGAATTCTTCTTCCTCTCCATGACATTGGGAAGATGAACAGAGTAGAAATGGAACTTTGCATTTGGTGTTAAACCAGAGCAAGGAAAAATGCTTCCGAATATGGTAACTAATAGGCTAGTAGTCCCATCCCCAAAAAAAGAACTACACTAAGGCTCTCCTCTTCCCCACCCCCACCCCTGCCTTTTTTCTTTTCTTTTTTTTTTTTTTGAGACCAAGTCTCACCCTGTCACCTAGGCTGGAGTGCACTGGAACGATCTTGGCTCACTGTAACCTCTGCCTCCTGTTCGAGCCATTCTCCTGCCTCAACCTCTCAAGTAGCTGGGATTACAGGTGCCTGCCACCACACCTGGCTAATTTTTGTATCTGGAGTAGGGACAGGGTTTCCCCATGTTGACCAGGCTGGTCTGGAACTCCTGACCTCAAATGATCCACTCGCCTCGGCCTCCCAAAGCGCTGGGATTACAGGTGTGAGCCACCTCGCCCGGCCCTCGTTCCCAATTTCTAAGGCCCTCCCTACTTAGAAATAGACCTTTCTTTAAGTTTTGTTTTGTTTTGTTTTTGAGACGGAGTTGCTCTGTCGTCCAGGCTAGAGTGAAGTGGCGCGATCTCGACTCACTACACCCCTGCCTCCTGGGCTGAAGCGATTCTCCTGCCATAGCCTTCCCAGAAGCTGGGATTACAGGCGTGCACCACCACACCCAGCTAATTTTTGTATTTTTAGTAGAGACGGGGTTTGGCCATGTTGCCCAGGCTGGTCTGGAACTACTAACCTCAAGTGATCCGCCAGCCTCGGCCTCCCAAAGTACTGGGATTACAGGCATGAGCCACTGCGCCCGGCCTCTTTTCGATTTTTGCACACAACGATTCCTGCTGTGTATCCACTGCTGTCATTTGCTGTCCTGTCCAAGGCGTGCTGCCGGACAGAGGAGTCTGTCAGACTCAGAATCGAACGTGGGGGTTAAAGGCCAACTTGGCCATAAACGGAACAAATCACGCCTAACCCAACAAGCTTCTAAATGTACAAGCGGCCCTGGACACCTACACGAGCAACACTCGGGAAGCAGGAGTCAGTGGACTGCGGGTCGCTGACCACTGCCTTACCCACCACAGCGCATGCGCGACTACCGCACCAGCAACAGAGGAGTACCACGCCCACCAGCCCGACTTCGTGGGCGGACGCCGTCTTCTCGCGCATGCGTAAGCGCCTGCGCATGCGTAAGCGCCTGCGCATGCGCGCCTTCGGCAGCTGTCTTTCCCTATTAGGCCCTGCTCTTCTCAAACCCGACCCGGATCCCGAATTCTGGCCGCCTCAACTACGACCTTCACTCCGCATTTCTCACCTTGCGCCCGGTTTTCTCCCGTAGGGCCTTCAGCCGTTCCTTTCGCCGCAGTGCCTCTTCCTCTAGCCGGCCCACACCGGCCACAGTCGGCTCCATCTTGCCTGCGGACGCCCCCCCTTTTCTCCCGTCTTGCAACGCGCAGGCCTAAAGCGAGTGGATAAATGTCTCGCGGCCAATCCAAGGACGAGAATGAAAGAATGAGAGGTCCTGGAAGCCAATCAATGCTGGGTTGTTATGGGAGAGCCCTCCCCGCCCCGCCCCGCCCTTATCCTTCCGGGCAACTTGCCTAGTGGGTAGGGAGCCAGCAAAAAAAAAAAAAAAAAAAAAAAAAAAAGGCTAAGGGCGGATTTATCCAACACTGATCAGTGAAAGAGCAGCAGGTGGAATCAGACCTGAGAGAAGGAGAAAAGAGTGCGTCGATCGATTCGGTTTTGCCTATGCACCAACCACAGCTCACTCCATGCTGGCCTCTTGGAATGCCCTGACCCAACCACGCTTGTCCACTTGACCTGATCCTTCAAGGCTCTAATGCCTTCAAGAAGCCTTCCCTGACCCTCCACTCCGATCCCACCTTAATATGAGGTATGCCTCACACCTCTACAGCTGTCCGTGGCCCCCCGGACTCCTGACAAATGCCCCTAAGCCCCTCTGTGACCACCCTCAGCTCAGACAAAGCCTGTATAGTGAGGGACCTGGTTGGATGGCTGTTTCCCTCTGGACTCGGATATGATCCCCTCTCACTCCCATCCCCTCCTGGAGCAGCAAAGTCCTCAGGGTCAAGTTACCTTCCCCAGCGAAGAGCAAACCCCAACCCGGGTCCAGTGGGCCTCAAGGACTGACCCCATCCCCCAGCTTAGAAAGAGTTGGTTTGGCCTCGATTGCAAGTCGCCACAAGATTCATGGCTCCCTGGCAGAAGCTGCCAGAGTCTTCTTTCCTGCATTAACCAGAGTGTCCTGATAACAGAGAGACCACTTAGGCTGAATTCAAGATATTCTTTCAGTATGTGAGAGTCCCCAAGGCCACACCCCCTCACTTGGGAATAGGAGACCATGCTTCCACCTGCCCCCCTCCACTGCCAGGCGATAACTAGCTTCTGAGTAAGGCAGTTCCCTCCCTGAGGCCTCCCTTCCCAGGTTGGCTGCAGGTGGGCATCCACTCTTCCCCTTCCAACTCTCTTCAGAGGCTTATGGGCCACAGGCCACAGGTCTAGCCCTCTCTTCACTGACCCTCTTGTCCTCACTCACCCGAGTCTGTCTAAACCTTCTTCCCTGTAATGGATGGGTTGCTCTGCCAAGGCCTGGCATGCAGGTTGGAGGTGCTCAGGAAACCTCAGCTCAGAGCTATGATTGGACAGAGCAGGAGAAAAGGCCAGACTGGAGGTGTGGCCCAAGAAACTAGGAAAGCAAAATGGGACAGGGTCTGTGTTCTCTTGACCACCCGAGGTTTAGGAGTCTCCAGACTGGTCAACTCCTGGAACTAGTAGCACCTCTCTGGGTCCAGCAAACTTCTCCCCAGTCCCAACAAAGAGCCTGATCCCTACCCAACACCAGGGGGTCCCTCGCCTCATAATCTGGACATAGGGAAAGGCGCACGGGTGATGGTGGCAGGGACCCAACAAAGAGTCAATCAAGCCTGGGTCCCTGTCCCTGCTGCCCTTGGCTGCCCATGTGGTCCTCATTTGGCCAAAGCCTCAGTTTCTCCATCTGTAAAACAGAACCATGAGGCACCCATCTCCTGAGGTTAAAGAAAGAAAATATGTGAAGCAAGTTCTGGGCCCTGGAGTTGTGGAGTGGGAAAGCCCCTCCATTGGAGCGTTTCGGAAGGCTTCCTGGAGGAGGGAGGGGGACCCGTGGGAACGGTCTAAGCTTCTCTGGGATCTGGGAGGGCACCGCTGCTCTGAAGGTATTTCAGGCTAGTCCTGCTGCTCTCTGACTTCGCGCCGTCATACTCAACAAACAGCTAGAGCTCAAAAGTTGCGTTTCAGTCTTCCCATAAAGCGACAGAGGAGCACCGGACACTTGATAAGCGCCACTGGGGTTGCATGGTGGTGGTAGTCATTATTACTTGTTGAAGGACCCTCGCCACTCACACGCGACCCGCCGACCCTTCCCTGAATGATGGCAACTGCAGTCAGGCGGGCTGCGTCCTAGGCGGATGCAGACCCTGGGAAAGTCTGGAATTTCTCACCCCGACCATCGTCCCGGAGGCTCAGGCTGTACCTGCCAATGGGACTGGTAGGGCGGGGCGGCGGGGCACCCTCTTGGGCCGCCCTGCCCACAGGCCCCTCCTCCTGCCATACTCGCCGCCGCCCTTTGCACGGTCCCGGGAGAGGCGGGGCGGCGGTGACTGCAGCGAAGTGCAGGAAGCCAGGCGGCGGCCGCCAGTGAGGAGGAGGAGGAGCGAGCAGACTTGGGTGGCTCATCGCCGCGGAGGCCAGAGCCGCAGACTTCCCCAGTAGTACCGCGCCGCTCCGCCCCGGAGTGACGCCCTCCGCCCATGGGCCTGGCCGAAGGCAGCCGGCGGGCGGCGCGGAGGAGGCGGCGACAGGTGGCGCGCAGCAGGGCCGGAGCCGGGCCCGGCCATGGCCGCCTCAGAGCGGCTCTACGAGTTGTGGCTGCTCTACTACACGCAGGTGAGCCCGCCCCGCCCCGTGCCCGCACCCGCTGTGCCCCCAGCTTCGCACGCCCCGCGCCTGCTGCACCTGTGCCCCGCGCCGCTGAGGCTGCGTAGACGCGCGCGCGCATGGAATGCTCCGGCTCCGCACCCACGTGTGTGCCCCCAGCCCGCCGGGTGCCTCTGGCACTTATGCCTTGGGTATAGAGCTCGCGGTCGTGCACTTCACAGCAACCCCCACAGCTGGACCGTGAACCCTGAGCCTTTCTTGCTGGAGGAGAGTGGCCTGGGCCGAGGCGGCAGAACACTTCGCCTTTTTACAAATGGGGAAACTGAGGCCTCTCTGGACAGGAGGCTAGATGGAGGGAGTCTCAATTTGCATGTCGGCTGCCTCTCCCGTGGGCGCGGCCCGATTGGGTGGTCGTGGCCAATGGCTCTGGGAGTGTGGGCCGATGTAGGGGGGTGTGTGGGCTGACTAGGGAGGGTGTGTGGAAGGGGAATGCTCCCACCGCAGGTTCTTCTTGAGTTGCATTCCTCCCCCCCTACTCCTACGAACAGGCTGTGATAAGCTCCTCCCTGACTTGAGACGCCCCCACCCCACCCCCATTCTGGGAGGTGGACCCAGGGCCTCTCTAGGGAGCAGAAAAAAAAGTTGTGCTCTTAATGCCCAAGGTGAGGGGGGCGTTGAGGCCCTGGGGAATGTCTGAGAAGGATGGAGGGCGGCCCTTTCATCCTGAGCTCCCCACCAATCTCAGAGAACACTTCACATGTCCCGTCAGCTGAGAACCTGGTGTCACTGAAACCGTCTCTCACACATAGTCCCCCATTTTCCTTCTGCACCCCCAGCAGGGAGGGATCCCAGGGTAACACCTCCCTCCCCTTCATCCAGCACCTCCCTCCCTGCACCAGCCTGGCATGATGCTCCTGGCTCAGGTGTGCCCTGGGCACAATGGACCATTGTGTGCCCTGAACAGTTTATCACTGGGGGGAATTCATGCTCAGACGCGCTGGCCCTCAGTGAGGAGGCGGGTCCACTGTTTCCCGGAGACCTGGAGTCCAGGCCAGAAGGACCACAGCCTCTTTAGTCTGCTCAGGTTGTGAGAGGTCGAGGCCCTGGCAGGAGTCCAGGCATGGAGTAGGGTCCTTCTTTGGTATAACCCAGACCAAACTCAACTTCTCAGCCTCTGCTTCCTGCCTGTAAAACTGACATAGCCCTGGCTGGCTGTGGTGGCTCACGCCTGTAATCCCAGCCCTTTGGGAGGCCGAGGCAGGTGGATCATGAGGTCAGGAGATCGAGACCATCCTAGCCAACGTGGTGAAACCCCGTTTCTACTAAAAAAATATATAAAAATTAGCTGGAGGCCGGGCGCGGTGGCTCAAGCCTGTAATCCCAGCACTTTGGGAGGCCGAGGTGGGTGGATCACGAGGTCAAGAGATCGAGACCATCCTGGTCAACATGATGAAACCCCGTCTCTACTAAAGCTACAAAAAAAAATTAGCTGGGCATGGTGGTGCGTGCCTGTAATCCAGCTACTCAGGAGACTGAGGCAGGAGAATTGCCTGAACCCAGGAGGCGGAGGTTGCGGTGAGCTGAGATCGCGCCATTGCACTCCAGCCTGGGTAACAAGAGCGAAACTCCGTCTCAAAAAAAAAAAAAAAAAAAAAATTAGCTGGGCATGGTGGCACGTACCTGTAATCCCAGCTACTTGGGAGGCTAAGGCAGGAGAATCGCTTAAACCAGGGAGTCAGAGGTTGCAGTGAACCGAGATTGCACCACTGCACTCCAGCCTGGTGACAGAGCAACTCCATCTCAACTCCATCTCAAAAAAAAAAGAAAAAAAGAAAAAAAAAAAAAACCTGACACAGCCCTGACCTCAGGGACTTCCTGGACTCTGTGGAGAGGTAGCCATTATAGCTGGTCCAGACCAGAGAAGGCTCCTGTTTCCCTGGCCCCATTGGGTTCCCTCGCCCCAGCCTCTTTGCCTCCATCTCTAGTGCCTGTGAAGGAGCAGAGGGTGTGAAGAGAAGCCTACCCCTAGTCCTTCTTCCTCTGACTGCCCGACAGCTGTGGGCAGGTTCTAGGTGTGTGAGCAGGTAAAGGGGGCTTCAACCAGGTGATGAGTGTGAGGGATGTTAATGATAGGTCTTCATGCTGGGTGGCAGGCTGCTGAGGGTGTCTTGGTATCTCCCAGGACTGTAAGTCCAGTATGGTTGCCTCCTGATGTCCCATCTTACTGAGCTCTGCACATGGCCACCCCCACCCCCCACTGTCCTCTCAGGTGGTATTTATGGCTCATATCTGTGCCGAGCCTCCCCCTCCCAGAGCTCTTCACCTCACAGGGTACGTATAGAGCATAGGCTGGCAGGTTGTAGCTTCGGAAGCCTGAGCAGGCAGGGGGCAGCCTGGGGCCAGGCAAACAAATCCAGGATGTGAGAGCAAACCCAGGAGCCAGGCGGGGCCAGGCTGCCTGGGAAGAGGAAACTAGCGCCAGCCTCCCAGCTCGCCTTCCTGCCTGCCTGCTCCTGCTCCCGGAACCCCCAACCCAGGGAGGAGTAGTGCTTGTGACTTTAAATCCTGTTAGGGGCCT